TTTAATTTTACAAAGAAAACATTCCAATTTACGCTACATTAAGTTTTACAAATTATTTTATTGAATGAATTTTTATTAAGTTCAATTTATTATTAATGAATAATAGAGATTAGAATAAACTAAAACATATTAATTAGCACTGCAGTCTTACGTCCGTTTGGGATTTTTCATTAAAGGAAGTACTGTGTCCGAAACTGTTCGTTTGTGAGGAACAAGCGCTATTTCGGAGGAACAAATGTCACGCAAAGCCCTGGTTGCAGCAAAGCAAGCTGGCGCACGAGGGCGACCTGCTGACGCGCGAGCGGCTGTGCTGCGGCCTGTCGCTGTTCGCGGTGGTGCTGCGGCGCCTGCGCAGCTGCCTGGCCGCGCCCGCCTGGCCCGCGCCGCCCGCGCCGCCGCACCACGCGCCGCTGCACGCCGACGACACCAACGAGTTCCACAGGTGCCGAGGTTTCGCTTTCCGCGTTCTGCATTCCTTAGTAGTCCGACGTACTACTGATGGTACTCCTGGTTATCTGTATGCGCAGTAGGAGAACCGAACCGAAGTAGGGAACGAGGAAGGAGCGAACATGTAAGCTGAACTGATTGACTCGACTAAACAAAAACGTTAACAGCATTGTGTATATAAAATAATATTTTTATATACTTATCTAAAAAAAAATCTGGACTTACAGTTATCGCTTAAACTTTGCTGTCTATTCTATATCCTTATATTCTATTTAATTACATGTTTATTCATTGTTTAACAACAACAACAATAACACGTTCTACTTAACATGATATCAGTTACACGTTGAACTGTTATTGAAATAATTGAAAAGTTGAATAAGTTCAACTTTTAGTTGTATCTAGTAGAACTAATTGGAATATTTGTTTCCGATTAGTTCAACTGATTGAACTTATATTTGAACTTAGTGGAATAGACAGATAAATTGCTTAGTTTACTACTTTGGAGTGCAAAAATAGAAGCCGCACCTTTTTTTTATAATATCAAGTGACGGGACGAACAGGTAAGCTAGACGCCTGTCCTTAACAGTTGCGGTGCCACTCAGAGCTTTAAATCGCAAAGATCTGAGGGGCACTGCCACTGCGCCCGTCACCCCGAGACATAAGTTGACAAGTCCCATGTGCTTATAATTTCATCAGCACCCTTTCAATCGGGAACGCAATAATGCTGACATTATTGCTTGACGGGAGAAATAGGTAAGGTGGCAGTATTTCCCTGGACCAACTCTTTCACAAGGAGCTCTGCTGCTAAAAACCTGTAATATCCATAGTGGTATTACGTATCTTATTACACATACACTACGTACTTTTGTTTAATAAACCAGATGCTATATAAATGATTTTTTCATCATGTGAAGTTGCCAAAATTGTGACAGTACCGGTTGTCAGTTCACAGTCGTTATGCCGCTGCAATAAGGTCACCTCCTTTTTGGAGAACTAAGTAAACATCTCGAATGCGTCATCGTTCAGCTAATAACCGCTAGATGTCAGCACATTGATTGTAATTTCAATATAAGATCAAAACGTCGTAACTTGCAATAATATTCAACTTTCAACTATATAAGCCAATAGGGTAAAGTTTAAATTATATAAACAGTGCAGAATTTGTTTTCTTTTTAAATTTGAAACTAGGACCAGTCATTTTCAAGATTTCATAGAGTTTCAAATTATGAGTGTGTGAGTTTTGGCGACAGCGGTTCTGATTGTAATCGAGGCTTGAGGGACTTCCATTGTTTTTTCTTCTTCAGTATGTTACCCCCACCCGCCACCGCGGCGCCCGTTCACGACTCACGATACCCCTTGTAACGCCAACTCCCTTTTGCAGGCTGTGGTCCGCCCTGCAGTTCTTGTACTGCATCCCGACCACCGAGACGCAGTTCACTGTTGAGTAAGTCAATGTTTTATGACAAAAAGAACGATGCCCAAATTCCATACAATCCTGGACCACCTAAATTGCTCGTTTCATTGTTTCCATATAGTGTCTAACTATACTGGAGTTTTTTACTAGGGAAAGAACAATGGCCATTTTTAATCGACTCAATTCGTCTGTATGTTTTTTTTTGTATGTATGTTACGCGATAACTTCGCCGTTTGTGAACCAATTTTGATGATTCTTTTTTTGTTGGAAAGAAGGTACCTCAGATGTGGGCCCATTTAAATTTCAAGAAAATATTCCACCTCTAAGGGTGGTAAACTAGGGGATGAATGACTTTTGAGGTCGGTTTTTTTTAACCGGAGGTTAGGTTATGGATTCAATCTTAAATATTTGAATATGCCTATTATTTATTGAAATGTGAGCACATTGGGGACAAATTATTATTATCTATTAAGTATTTGCTACAAATTATTATCTCAATAAATCATATTGCTGTTGTGGTTGTAGAAACTAAACTATAGAGGTACTTGCGTATTAAAATACATTGGCCTTTTAAAAAATAGACATGAGACAACCTGTGTTTGCGAATGTTTAGTAAAAAAGAAATTTTACTAACAATACGTTCATACTTTAGGTAAAATAACTCCACCAGTTTCGATCACTGCTTATGAATTAAATTAATATTATTTTATAACGTATTTTAAAAGATGGATCTAAATATTAACCAGCCGCGAATATAAAATTTGCGAGGCCAAAATGGGCATTGTTCTTTGGAATTTCCACTTGGCGGCATTGATTGTTGAAGATAACACCCCTCGGAATTCGATAAGCCCGATGTACTTTTGCAGGGAGCTGTTTGGCGAAGGACTGCACTGGGCGGGCTGCACCATCATCGCACTGCTGGGGCAGCAGCGACGCTTCGAGGCCCTGGACTTCTGCTACCACATCCTGCGCGTGCAACGCGTTGACGGCAAGGACGAGCTGGTCAAGGGCGTGGTAAGTGTGCACAACTACAGTCTGTCTTTTTTGAAGATGGAGTAAAATGACAAAAGTGTTGCCCGCTTGCAAGCAGCTTGTGAATGCAGTCGATAAATATTCTATCGATTTTATTATGCACTAAGGCGGAACTAGTTACGTTTGTATCATCATCGACTCATATTTCGTTCAACTGTTGGGCGCAGGTTCATTCATCATCACCTTTAGCAACAGTAGAGCTCTGCAGAGCTCTAGAGCAGTAGAGTAGGGAAGTACTACTAGTACTTACACATGGGGCTTGACAACTTGTGTCTAATGGTGACAGGGGCAGCAGCAGTGTCACGATCTTTGCGATTTAAAGCTCTGCGGCGTGTCGGTTAACACCGTCCTACGTGTCGGTATCATAAAAAAACAGGTTTTGTAAACTACAAAGATAAGACTTATTTAAATAGAAAATGATGATGATGGAGTGACCATGGGTTCACCAATTGCTCCCGTAACTGCTAACATCTTCATGGACTGGTTAGAAGAAAAAGCTTTAAACAAACGCGTCTGTAACACCTAGATATTGGTGGCGGTATGTGGATGATATTTTCGCTATTATCTCGAAAAATAGTTTGCCGGAATTCTTTGACTACCTCAATTCTGTGCACGATAAAGTTAAGTTCACGGTGGAGAGAGAAAGTGAAGGAGCACTGCCATTTTTGGGTGTTTTGGTTATGCATCAACCTCGTGGTCGTTTGTTTACTACAGTTTACCGTAAGCCGACGCATACTGACCGGTACCTTAGGGCAGATTCACACCATCATCCATGCCATTTATCTTATGTACCTAGAACATTGATCGGTCGAGCCTTAAGTCTGTGTGATCCACATTACGTGCACCTGGAACTAGATTATGTTATACGTGTACTGGAAAGCAACGGCTTTAACTGGAGGCATTGTAATCGTGTCGTGAATGCATCTACTCGTCCTCATCAGGCGGTAGTGGAGAGGCTGCCGATATACTTACCTTACATTAACGGTATCTCCCTTAATGTAAGGTAAGTATATCGCCGAAGATATAGCATCAAGACGATTTTCCCGCCCTCACATGCAACTTACACAGTTGGTGCGTTCACCGAAGGATAAGGAGCCATTGAATGTTCCCGGTGTTTATAAGATTCCCTGCTCCTGTGGCAAGGGTTACATAGGAGAGACCGGCCGTAACCTGTCCACACGACTAACGGAACACATACGTAGTATTAAGAACCGGGACAATCGGGGCTCTGCAGTGACGGAACACTCATTGGATTCGGGTTCGACGCACTATATTCGTTTTGGTAAAGTGTCCGTACTGGCGAGAGAAAAGCATTTCATTCCGCGAAAAGTACGTGAAGCTATCGAGATTGGTCGTCATTTGAATTTCAATCGTGATAGTGGTTGGTCGGTACCCCCTTGTACCGGCTTGAAAACAGTGTAGACGAGACTTTAGAAAGTGACGTTATTAGTGTAGTGTGCAAATCCTGCATATGACTTTAATAAAAATGAAGCAAAGGAGGGTAGATTCTCGCCGACGCCGCCTGCGCCCGCTGCCGTACTGAGTGATCGGGCCAAGGCTTTGGCGCGCAGTTTCCGTCGAGTCACCGCCGCGGAATCTCATGATTAAGGGCCACGAATTGGCTCGAAACATGTCGAGCAAAAATTCGACGTACATACGTGAGTTATCCGTTATTTTTAGTTAAGAAGACTTATTTTAAAGATTTTTGTTTTAAATCATAGTTTCCCAAAGTGGTTTCTACCCCCAGAAGCCCAGAGGGCGCTGAAGAGTTTTGGGGGCGGTAGGGGCTTCGGAAGCGGGGGCATTGATGCTGTCCAGGGAGTGCTACCGCATTTGAAAAAAAAACCGAATTATCTTTATAAACTACACTAAATATATATAATTTGTTTCGTGGTAATTTTTTGTGTTAAGTTAATATAAAATAAATACATGTTTCCAATGATTTTTTGTGATGGTGTGGTTCACGTTGATGGTGGGCATAAAGTTTAGGAACCTATGTTTTAAGTCAACATACTGTAATTCTATGCTAAATAGACCAACGGTGAAAATAAGAATTAAAAAGGCATTAACGCAATAAGTAATAATTAGAACGTCGTAACATTCACAATTCAGACATTTTTGGCATAATTTTATTTTTAACCGACTTCAAAAAGGAGGAGGTTCTCAATTCGTCTGTTTCTTTTTTTATATGTATGTTACGCGATAACTCGATAATTTGTGAACAGATTTTCATGATTCTTTTTTTGTTGGAAAGGGGGCACTTCCATAATGGTCCCATTTCATTTTGAAGAAAATCATCCACCTCGAAGGATGGCTGTTCACGCATGAAGATTCATTTTTATAAATAGCGCCTTTAGGAGCAATTACGTTAATGCTTGATTTTGCTATTTCTTCAATTCAAGGCGTTTTCCTCTCAATATACTTTGAGTAGTTTCGTAGTGAGAACCTATTTCTATTGTCTCCAGTGTCAAGTCCTGTATAGTGGCGAACTAGGGGATATTTCCGTTTATTGCCCGTGGTCCTACTGCGTAGTCCTACTGGTAGAACCACGGGCAATTTTTTTTTGCCCGTGGTTCTACCAGTAGGACTACGGGCAATAAGTTATTTTACTCTATGGGCATTGGTCCTACTGATCAAGTAGTACAGTCAATAGGAAGTTTACAATACACTCTTTGGTTAGGTGCAGACCTAACCAAATAGTTTATATTGTAAAACCACATTGAAGAAGGATAAATGTGGTTTTCTATTATTCCCTGACAAAGAAATTCAATTATCATGTCATGTTGACATTGATTTCTTTTCCGTGTAATTCTTAGATTATTGGCCGCTATTAAGAGAAATAATAAAAATAATAGGAATATATACACAATGGAATTTATTAAAAGAAAGGGTGGCACTGTGCTGTTATTTGCAGGCCACCAATATTATAAATTGAGACCATATAAGGATGGATCAGAAATATGGCGGTGCTCGAATTATAAAAAGGAAAAATGTACGGGTACAATAAAAATTAAGGTAACTCATTTCCTGCGATCAACGATCCTTCTATAAATGAACATTCGTCATTACGAAGTCCAGTTCTGACACGACTGATGTCGATAGCAGTATTCATACATGTTCCAATAGATGAGTGGGGTGAAGAGGTAAGGGGGTGGTTGGATTCACTTTTTAGTTTCTCACGTTCGATTGTTAGTCTGTTTTTTTTTCTTCTTCACGGGAATATGACACTAAATCAGAAACATCATACTTGTCAATCAAATGAAGAAAAAAATATCGTCGATAAGGCGTTGGCAGATTTAAAAGAAACGGTTACAACGTCAAATCGACCAGTACCTCGGCTATATAATGAAGCCATGGTTGAGCTACAAGATGCAGGCCTAAACTTTGTCGCCGATATACCTTCGCTGTCAAACACGCAACATTGTTTATACACTATTAGAAACAAGGCTATGCATGTGTCTAAAACAATATATAAATGCCTGAAAGAGGTGGAAATACCTGAAAAATTTTCATCTTTCGTTTTAGCTGACTACTCAGATGAAGGTTCGCGCATTCTTGTTTTTTGTTCTTTAACAGCTAGAGACTCCGTTTCAAATATTAAAGAGTATTTCATGGACGGAACGTTCAAGAGCTGTCCGAAACCCTTCGCACAATTATATACTTTGCTCGGTGATGTAGGAAGTTCAATGGAGACCACAAAAGTAGTGCCGTTAATTTTCGCCTTACTACCCGATAAGACAGAGAAAACATACTTCATTTTATTTTCTCTCATCAGATCGCAATTGTCGCATTGGAAACCGGCAATTGTACATTGCGATTATGAGATAGCGGCAATAAATGCCATGTCAGAATTATTTCCAGAAACACAAATTAAGGGTTGTTTTTATCATTGGTGTCGAGCAGTCTGGCGAAAAGCTAAATATTTACAAGTTACAAAAACTAAAGCTCAAAAAAGGATTGTTTCTTTAACTGCAGCCCTGGCATTGTTACCTCAGATGTTTGTTACTGAAGGATGGAATTACATCAAAAGTCAAAGCGAAATAACTGACATGTCCAAATTCATAAATTACATAGACAGGTTTTGGTTAAAAAAAACATAGCCCCAATTTTAAGTGTTTTTGCACTACGTCACCGAACCAATAATGCCATCGAAGGGTGGCATTCAAAATTGAACAGATCTGTAAATAAAAATACTGTCACTTTACATCGACTTTTGAGCATTTTACATAATTTTGATTTAGAAGCCAATTTAAGACACAAAATCAAAAACAAAAAAAGGTCAGAAGTGTTGATTAAGAACGACGAATTTATAATGGTAGTTCTGATGGAACTTGTAAATTCCGAAATTTCTGTAGGGCATGCTTTGGACAAGCTGCGTTAAACCAATCGTACGTCTTTTTTTCTGCAGTAATGCTATTGTAAGCAAAATGGTATTAGAGTATAATAAATATAGTAATGTAGTATAATAATGGTATTATTTGGAGTTCCTTAATGACAGGAACTCCTCCAGCCTTTAGAAGTTCTGCAGTAACTCCATCTTTACCGGAGACTTTTCCGTTTTTTAGCTGTTTTAGAGCCAGCACGATCTCGTCTTGGCTGATATCTGGCGGGTCATCTCTGGAATCGTGGTTATCGCGCTGAGCTTAGATCTCGGCGAGAATCTGCGACACTAGTTACATTATTAACATAACATATTGACGGTGACTGTACACCCAATCAATCAGTAGGACCAATGCCCATAGAGTAAAATAACTTATTGCCCGTAGTCCTACTGGTAGAACCACGGGCAAAAAAAATTGCCCGTGGTTCTACCAGTAGGACTACGCAGTAGGACCACGGGCAATAAATAATAAAAATAAATAATAAAAACGTTTATTTTCTCCCAACATGTACATAGAATAGATACTTAATAATCATAGGCTAACTTTGGGAGACAGGAGCTCAAACTAGGTTAGACCTGTGCTATGAGTCTCCTGGTCTCCAACACCCGATTACAAATTTCACATCGAATTATATGTAATTACAGGGATGACAAAATAAAATAAGATAAAAGAAGACAACAAAAATTGATCAAAAATAACAATACT